TGGTTCTATCAATCACAGGTCATCCAGATGCTTCCATTTCAAATTTGAAACAATTCAAAAAACAAATTAAAAACAAGAAAAGTATAAACGCCACAGTATTTGAGTAAATGTATTTATTTTCTCCACAACAGTTAGTTTCTGCTACTAAATATTCTAATTCTGTTAAAAGATCACCTGAAAAAAGTTGTTTTCCGCCGAGCTGCTGAACAACATTCCAGACGTGATCTGGTTTAAAAGTCTACCTACAGGATATAACAGACAAAGGGGCATCAATCCTTATCCCTGTGGGGAAAACACAAATGAAACATCCTGTTGTTGTCTAGTGCAGGTGATTCTTTTAACTGTCTTTCTTTGGCTACAGTTCTTATAGGGGGAAAAATGAATGGATAGATGAGACAATAAAACACCAATAAAATGTTTGCTACAGCTGTAAGAACCTCCACTAGCCTGGAGGGGAAGGTATCCCCTACACAATAAAGCAAAGTAAAGGCTGCTGTTTAAAATAGATATTCATCACTGACTAATGCCTCTGTTGTTAGGGAGTTCCTGTTTGCAGTAAACCTGACTATAAAATGGGAGGCCTTTAAAGCTTTCCTGAGAGGGCAAATGATCAGTTTTACAAGCTTCAAACATAAAGCATCCAGGATGGAACTGGTCCATTTGGAGAAAAAGATGAAAGATATTGAGGAAGAGATATTTATATCCAAATCTAATGCTCTAATTCTAGAGTTAAATAAACTCAGAGCTAAATTTAATATTTTGTCATTAAATAAAGCTACTAAAAGTTTACTAAGACTGAAACAGTCATATTATGAACAGGGTGAAAAAGCAAGTAAAATACTGGCTTGGCGTATTAAACAGGCTCAGGCTGAAAGAACAGATGAAGGACAGATCACAGCTGATCCTAAACATATTAATGACTCTTTTTCTACTTTTTATAAACAGCTATACACAACTGAGCATTTAAAGTAATTTTCATCAAAACACATTTTTTTTTGGATCAGCTGCATTTTTCCTAGACTACCAGAAAACGATATGGATGAACTAGAGTTCATATAACAGTAGAAGAAATTACTAATACTATAAGGAACATGAAAGGGGGCAAAACTCCTGGACCTGACGCAATACCAATAGAAATATTTAAAATATTTAAAGATAAATGAATCCAGCCTTTATTGGATATGTATCAGGAATCATTTGAATCGGGGTCTCTGCCCCCTTCACTTAATGTTGCAACAATTACTTTGTTACTGAAAGCTAATAAGCCAGCAACACATTGTAGTTCTTATAGACCAATCTCACTGTTGAATTATGATTGCAAGATACTTTACAAACTATTAGCTATGAGATTAGAGACACTCTTGCCTAAAATGATTCATTCAGACCAGAACGGCTTTATCCAGGGGAGGCAGGGGTTTCACACTATATGGAGGGTCATGAATATCATTTATGAGAAAAAAGAGACAATGCGTTAATCTCAATGGATGAGGAAAAAGCCTTCGACAGGATCGAATGGCTGTTCTTATTTGAAGTTTTGAAAAAGTTTGGTATTGGAAACAGATTTTTTAAATGGAGTCAGTTGATATACTTCAACCCTCAAGCAGAGATTTTAACTAATGGTCTTTTTTCCGCACCATTCAGATTATATCGTGGAACTAGTCACCTCTCTTGTTCACCTTGGCAACTGAGCCTCTTGCGATGGCAATTCAGAATCATAAAAACATATCAGGAATTAAAGTAGGCAATGTTGACCACCGTATCGCCCCATATGCAGATGATGTGATCCTGTTCTGCACTAATTTAAACAAATCAATACCATCCATATTAAGTCTCATTAATACATTTAGTACATTTTCGGGTTATAAAATAAA